CGCCTCCCATTACTCGGGGGCCCCTCCCCCCTCGTAACAGTTCGACGACACGCATTCGCGTGGGGTCCCATCGATGAATGGCCCTCGCGTACAAGCATATGTACACATACACACACGATCCCCAGAGCACACTGTGCATATGTCTGCACACCATATGCATACACACTTCCGTGGACATATATAAGTATGTACACGTACACATGGATGAATCACCCACCCGCGCCGCAACCACAAGCGCCACCCACACACAACAGACAGAACCACTCACCCGCCAGCAACACCCCACCCCCACACCCCAGCAACATCTATCTCTGCCCATCCATCCCGTCAATCAGAGGTCGAACTGTAGCTGGTTGGCGCCATTGCCATTGGGCTGCGCCGGGCCCAGCAGCGCCAAAGACTGACGCAAATTGCGCAGAAACCTGCAAAAATGGCACACGCATTGGGTGTGAATGAACTCGGTAGATGTGTGTGTGTCTGTGTGCTGGGAGGGGTATCGGCCTACTTAGCGTATATGTAAGCCATGAGTCTGAAGAAGAATATGAGCAGGTTGAACTTGTTCATGTAGGCCAGCACCACCTGGCCCAGAATCCCAAACAGAGCTATCTGACTGAACCACTGATACGCCTACACACACACGCACACACACACACTCGCACCCTCTCTCTCCCCGTCTGCGTCTGAATGCGTGTGTGTGTGTGTGTGTGTACCGATGGCCTGTCGGAGATGACGGCCCAGAATCCCGTAGCGTAGAATGCCACCTCGTAAGCGGATTCGATTGCGAACATGACCCAGAAGATGGTCCACAGGGTCTGCAGCGATAACACTCCGTGATAGATGATCGCCACCTGCACAGAATCACACACACACATCCATCCATCCATCAGTGCGCTGTCTTCATCCATCGGTAGGTCTGTCTGCATCGGTCGTCCCTCACCTCTCTGACGGTGTAGTTTCTGTAGTAGACGTACATGGCGTTGAATGTGACCTCTATGAGCAGCTCCATCAGCAGCAAAGACAAAAACAGCTTCTCGTGGCGCGTGTAGATGAACAGGAACTCCTCACCCAACGTGGGCGCGTCCAACTCGTCAAACCAACTGCATCATGCATTGCAAGGTGGCCATCAATCCACACACACACCAGCCATGTGTCTGAATGCGGCTGTGTCGTTCTCGTGCGTGTGTTTCGATGTGTGTGTGTGTTCGCATGTGTGTGCATCGTCACCCACCCATTGACATCAGGCAGTCTCGGTGAGCGAGGCGGCGTTCTCTCCTTGTACCCTGGCGGCACACCTGACCACACACACACACCACACACAGACACGAATGCAGTGTAACAGCGCCGCGTTCCGTCCTCTCTCGCTGCATCTCTCACCTTCTAGATATGACCCATCGGGGTTCTGGAAGAACACCGGCGTGTTGACAGGCAGCTGCTGCGTCTGCCCGCCCTCCCCTTCGCCCTTCCCCTCGCCCTCCCCGCCACCCACTGCTGCAGGAGGAGCCACAGCTGGCGGCTGCTCGGCTGTTGTGGCCGTCTGCTGCCTCGCCAGCCCCTCAGTGCCAGCATCGGATGGCTCCGTCGGCCTGTCCGTCATCGCACAGGGTACAGCGTTCGTCAGCGAGGGGCGTTGCTGAGGCGAGAGGGAGAGAAGGGCTTGCTAGCTGCGTGGGATGGCGGAATGCATCGGCGCATTCATAACAGGTGGACCACTGGGAATGGATGACGTTCATGCGCATGGAGACTGGGGGTTTTGTGGGGCCTTCGAGAAGTTCCGGAGAGGAAATGGCGACGTTTGCTGAGATCCGAGCACGGGGGAGGGAGGTCATCAAAGAGTACTTTGCACTCTTGCAGTAGGGAACGTACAGAACACCCAGTGGCAGTGAGTCCTCGAGTCCTCACTGCTGACTGTGTGTGTCTGTCTGTCTGTCTGTGTCTGTGCAGAGCGGCCGACGACAGCCGTTTCGAAGAGCTCAAGAGGGCAACACAGATACAGGCAGCATGGCGGAGAACAGTCGCTTACCAGGACTACCAAACACACCTGTACGCAACACAGTCAACGGCCCCCTTTCACGCACACAATCTGCTTTTCTCTCGCTCAGGAGGGCCATTCACCTCATCCAGCGGTGTTTCCGCGGCTCTGTCGGCCGTCGCGCTGCCCGGACAAAGGAGGAAGATCGGCACCGAGCGAGGATTCGGGCGTTCTTCGACCATGTCGCCACAGTCATTCAGAGATAGTGGGCCCCAATCATCGAGAAGAAAGCATTCCCGGGCTGATGGATGACCTTCTCTCTCTCTCGACTTCTGTCAGTTTTCGCGGTTTCTGGAGCCGTAAGTATCTCTCAGATTTCCGTGGGCGCAAGAGCTACCTCAACTCATTGGCACAAGAGGTGGACGTGACGGGCCCCCTTGTCCGTCGATGCCTTTCGACGCAGATGCGTGTGTGCAGGGGGAGAAGGTGCGCGAGACGCTGATTGAGTACGGCCTGAGGGAGATGCAGCTGAAAGAGGTACGTGGACGTGTGCAAGGGGAGAGAGGGAGGGAAAGAGACATTCGTTAGGGACCTGCGTGTCTGCGTGTGCATCAGCATCGTGATGCCGAGGCGACTCGGCTGCATTTCCTGAAGGTCGCCTCGCAGCTGCACCACCTTGTGTCGACCGAAAGCTGCCCTGGTAGACCGCCAGGCGCGGACCGATACTTGCCGATGTCTACGTGTCTTATCAGGTGTGTTCAATCCCCCATATGCCACTGACGTGCCCAAGAGCTTCGGCGCGCCAGTGGAGCAGATCCTGCGCAACACATGCAAGGTGACCACAAAGGCGGAAGGAGGCACCTATGGGCTGTGTGTGTGTGTGTGGAGGTGGCCTTCATGCATGGCTTCGTTTCCTTCATTCAGGTGAAACTGCGCCGTGCTGTGCGTCAGAGCCCGGCTGCGCGCCGGAAGATGGAGGCGCAGAGGAGACATGAGATGCAGGACACACAGGTACGTCGCAGAAGGACACCCATCCCCATGGTCGATCTCCGTACACATCATTCGTCCATGCATGCAGGCGTCTGCGACAACGCTCAAGTCCAAGGCCGCATCGGTGCCCCCCGCCCCCGCCCCCCTCCCACCAGCCGCACGCCCGCTCGTGTCAACAACGGCGTCACAGGGCAGGCTCAGTCCTGTCCCTGGGCCATTCAGGGTGAGCCCTCTTCGCGCAGACAAACGCAGACAGAGAGAGAGAGAGAGAGGCATATCTGTGTGTCCCCGGGGGATCGATCCGTCAGGCAGCAGAGATGGTGCAGGAGAGGGTCAGCCGGGCAGCTGAGAACAACCAGACATTACAGGCGGTCGGCAAGGCAGCACGAGAGAAAACGAGAGAAAGCGATTCCTCCATGTGTTCCTTTTCTATATGCGGAATGCAGAGCAGTCCGTACGAGCGGCCTGAGGACGAGTCGAAGCTCGAGTACAGGATCGACAAACAGATGAGAGGTGAGCCTGGGTGGGTGGGTGGATGGGCTGAGAGAAGGAGGGACACATATGCAGCCAGCCACGTATGCGCGTGTGGCGTGCTGCCTTTCGCAGTGAGTGCTGATGAGTTTGTGGTGCGGAAGCCCACAGAGAACCCCCCGCCCATCAGGTGAGGGAGAGAGAAACGCAGCATGTGTCTGTCCACCTGTTTCTTTCTCTGCAGTGTGCTGGCAGCCGCAGGAGGAACAAGACCGTAAAAATACGCATTTGAGGGACGAAACCAAGCTTGCATCAACTTTCTTGTTTTTCTTTCGTCCATCTTTCGTCCATCAGCCCCATTCAATTCCGGGAAGACTACTCCCATCTGCCCAAGATCCGAGCTGTGAGTCAGGGAGGACACAACGAGAGACATGTGTTGCTTTTCCAATGCTCCTGTGTCTGTATGCGCATATGCAGCCTTTTCACAAGGCCGTTCCTCAGGGCAAGGCCTTTTCTGACTACGGGGGCCGGGGAGCGATTGCAGGCAGGCAGTGAGCAGGAGAGTGTCCATCATGTTGTGCGTATGAGTCTGCGGACCAGTGTGGTGGTGTAAGACAGACTTTGACTGAATGTCGTGCTCTTAAGTCTACACATGCTCCCATCTGTGTTTGCGGAAGAAATTGGGCCCGTCTCCTCTACAGGTGTGACAACACCCGCGTACGTGCAGTGGTCTTCTTTTCTTCTTGACAATATGTGTCTATCTTTGGTCTCTCTGTCTGCATGTCTGTCTGTCTAGCGTCGTCTGGATGAGTTTGTCTGGATGAGTTGTGTAAGCCCTTGGTCGGCTAGCCGTGTGCACCGACACGAGGAGACGGATGGAGGGAGACAGACAGACAGACAGATACAGTAGGACAGACACACTGACACAGCACCTCTGACTTCAAGGAGACATTCAGAGGTAAGTGTTTGAGCAACACACGAAGATAATCTGTCTGTATCCATTCTCGTGGATAGCGTCATCTGAATGGCAGCTTGCGCTTTTTGCCTTTTGCATCCTTCGCATCAGGCTTCGATCTCCTCCGTCGCATCTCTTCTCGCCTCTGCTCACCATCCTTTTCGCGCATCATCTGGGATTTTGTTTTTTGCATGTATCTTGGTATCGCTGCATGCCGGGAAAGGCACAGGACAACAGAACACGTCAAGAACACGCACGCAAGCGTAAGTGCGCATCATCTACCGGCAGGACGGCTCGTGTGCGGCCGTTGCGCGTCCTTGCGGACATTCTCCTGGCCGAATGCTGTAAAGACCAAAAGGCAAGAGAATGCGTCTGACATACTCATGAATACTTTATGGATACGTGTACCAGTCGCCGGATCGTTGGCCATGACACCGTATGTCTCTGCGTGTACAGGATGCGATATGGCGCCTGACCGAGGGAAGAAAGAGAGACCAACGGTGCGATACCGTGTCTCTCCTCCTTTCCTTTCTTACTTAGCGTCATTTCGTATGCCTCTAGCTCGTCTTTCCTTTTCTCTACGAACTTTTGCACGTGGGGGACCTTCTCGAAGAACTGCAGTGTCCGGTCCAAGCTCCAGCCATAACTGAGTGAGATCGATACACGAAGGGACGAGAAAGCGTGTATCTTACCTGCATTGACAAATTCGCGAGAGCCTACCGTCTCATCATCACCCCACACGTAAGGCGCCAGTGTCTGTACGAGCCCTGCTCTCCATGAATGAGAACACGCAAGCCACCCGACTCCGCTCTTTGGATCTCATGCATTATCTGATCCATAAGAGCTTCTTCAATGATTGGCTGAATGACACCACAAGCTAATGCACACATGCGCTGGAAGTCGTGCTCAACCCTACCTTCTCGTCGCTTTCGCCAGCCACATCAATGTACTTCAGACCGGCGACGTGCTTGAAGGCGTTCTCGACCCGTTTGTTAGTGCAGTCTATTATTGTTAAGACCTGTGATAAGAACCAGAGGTGATGTGGCGACAGAGACACATCGTGCAATATCTTTCGATTTCTCTCTTGCCTTGTAATGTGACAAGAGTTCTCAATTATGGGCAGCCCGCTCGTCTCCTACTAGGAGCACCGTATCGTGTATGGACGGCTGTACGTGTGCCACTGTGAAGTAGCGCTGCTAAAAGTGAGGAGACATCATGTGTCGATACACCAGACACGTTGCATTGCCCTCGAGTCTCTACCGCTCGGTATTGTGGGCCTCGGATGAGTGGGACGTGGCCCGATCGCTTCATATCGAGACTTGCCCGCCTGATAGCTCTCTGTGCACGACATATATGAGACAGTCATGAGATACAAAGTCAAAGTCAGTGCTGAATATGTGACTTACTGAGTATTTCCACTGCCACAGCTTCATGTTGAAGATTTCTCGTACGGACATCATTGGTTCCACCAGCTGGCTCGTCGGCATTTGCATGTGAAAATACCGCCATTCGGACCAGTTCATCTTGTGCATCAATGTAGAAACAAACAGCCAATTCTCGTTTTCTTCCAAGTCATGGACAAGCGGATTCCAATAATCCATGCGCAAAGCCTCCAAACTGTCTTGCATCTGCCTCGTAAAATTGTACATCCTCGCAGCAACTTGACGATCTGCAAGATGCAGACACACATGCACACATTCACACCCGTGAGGCGTCACTTGAGGAAATAGGAATGGCGCACCGTATCGTTGTGTCAGAAACTGCTGGTAGTGCTCGTTTGCTATCTCAATCAGCTCCCAGAACTTTGTCAACTCTTCCAGGTCGCTGCGCATCTGCTCGTCACGCACACATACAGGGGACATGTGTGAGCTGACTGAGTAGCAGATGGATGATTGGATGTACCATCTGCAGCTTGCTTTGACCCGACTCTACGATCTCCTGGTACAAGCTCTCTCGCGATAGGAACGCCAATTCCTGCAAGACAACGCAGACATATTTGGCCTCGCGCGCGTGTGTCTCTCCGTCTGCGATCTCATACCTCTAGTCTCTTGTCGTACTTATCCACGAGAGACTGATACCTACTCAGCTCTAATCTTGCTCTGGCGGGCGGTGTTTTATGCATGAAGAAGTCAGCCAACGTCAACTCTGCCTGCAGAAAGGAAGACGGGGCCAAATGGAAGCCCTCGGCTGCCCAGTTATCCGTACCTGTAGGTCTCTCAGCTCCGTGTAGTACTCATCAAAGGCGGTTTTTCTCTGCCAGAGGGTTGATGGCAGTGGGTGCTGGGATGGGCAAAACATCCACACTTCCTCCTCAAACCCCTCAGCGCCGCTGAAAGAGGACAGAGACATATGGTTCAAGATGGTAGACCACTCATTCCTCTCCCATAAACGCTGACCAGCCCCCGTATGTAACCAATCTCTCTTGCTCTCGGAAGACAGCATGGCCAGCATACAATCGGCGTGGCGCGTCCTTGCTTGCCTGCCAGGTATACTGCCATTTCAGCAGGTCCTCGTCTGTCGTACAACAGATAGTTGCTGACATTCGAAAAAGGTGTGGGCGCGTGGCTGCACTCAATTTGGTTACGCAATTCGAGTATTCGAACACTAGTTGAGATCCCTTGGGCTGAATCACAGACAGTGAGAAGTGCGAATGGAGTTGAGATGGGTTTCCCCTGTGTGTATTTGCCCTTTTACTTGTCGCTCCTCCGAATGCCAAGATGACTGGGCCCTTGGCGCTTGGAATCACGCTGAAAGACATATTGCTTCGCGGCAATGATGCCCCCCAGCTGACGTCAACCGCAGCCCTGCAAGACACACAGCCACAGCAAGACGATAAGAGATTGATCTTGCTTGTGCACTGTGCAGTAGTCTTGCCAGGTTCTCTGTGGCAGACTGAGAGCAAACATGCGACAAAGGTCGGCGGTCCGATCCGCTGCCAGCATGAACAGACGGTGATAAACGATGATGACAAGGCGTGCTTGGGACGTACAGTGGTAGACAAAGAAGGTGTCTTTGTGGATGATCGCCAAATGTGTTCCCCTGAATGGCACCAAAGGCAAGATGCGCCTGTCATTGCATGACTCTGAAGGCGTGTGTGTGTTCTTTACTCGAGCAAAGGGGCGCTGGGGGGGCGTCCAGTGCACGATAGTCTCTCCCACATAAAGTTTGATGTGTCCTGTCACGCCATGAAGACATTGCATTTCATTTGCAAAAAGACATCGCCTCTTGTCCTTCACCAGCATGAACACATCTTCGTTGCACACATCACTTATTGACTTCATGCCTAAGGCGTCCACAGTCAGACATACGCATAAGGGGCTCTTTCGTGAGAAACTCTGCCTACCCCCAAACAGTACGAGCTTCGCAGCTGAGGCGTCGGAGGGGCACCAGAGTGTGACAGTATGCTTGCATCTTGGCTCCGGCACTCTCTGATCTGCAGGAGAGCGGAAAGTCAGTCTTTGTTTCGCAAGTCGATGACTCCCACCGTAGTTCCATACGATCTGCTCAAATTTGAGGGTTTGAGCTGGAAGGGGGAGTAGCGCGGGGAGGGGGGAGGGAGATGTGCATTCGATGTGCGTGTGCCTGTTGTGTATCTCCACACCTGTCAGGTCGAAGATGTGCCCGTCGTTGAACATCTCCCTCGTCCCGCCTTTCGTAACCCACGAGCCGCCGAAAAAGAAGATCTTCTCTCTCCCGCCAGACACGAATGTGTTTGCAGTGTGGAATCCTCTCGGGCAGGGTTTGTCGTCGATGTGCACCAGCCCCCATGCATATTTGTCTGCCGAATGCACAAAGAAATTGTCACCGGATCATCCGAGCTTCTCGTGTGCTGGCTGGCTGGCTCACTTCCAGTGACGCGGAGCAGAAATGTCTCATTGGTTGTCTCGTCCTCGGTCATTCCTCCGAAGAGGAGGAAGTAACCCCCCCCTACTGCAGTCAAAGTGTGCCCCGCTCGGGCTGCCATTTCAAATCCTCCCTCGCGCTGCAGCCTCTTCCAGCCGTATTGTTGCATCCTCTCTTTCCACAACAAGCGTTTCAAGCGTCGAAACGGAGTGCTGCACAGCGTCAGCAGGTGCTACAGAGCGCTGCCGGCGGACGAGACGCGGGGGCCTGCCCCCATCGCAACGGCTCCAACGGTCGCATGCATGCGTCCTCGGCCTCCTGTGCGCGTGCGCGTGTTTCAGGCGCAATGCATGTGGGTCCAGAGGGAGTCAATCGGATGTCCCGCCGCTGGACATCGGGTCCAGCGGACGGCGTGCTTGTGACGGCGAGAAAATTTACGAGACAGAGACGAAAACTATTTTTCCGCCGCCGTCCTATCTCTCAACTTTCTTCTGGCCCGAATCGTCTGCACGGTGGGTGTTTCTCTCCCTGACGATCGCAGCGCTTGCTTCCGTTGCCTCGCTCATCCAAAGAACGGCGACCATCGTGTTGCGGCGGCTGTCAGAATGGGTCTCGGCTTTGATGTACGCTGTGGCTCGCCGGCCAAAGGCCCGAGCCTGTTTGCGATACGAAGTCACGAAGATTCTCAGCATTGTCGGCGACGGCTCTTGCGGAGGGAAGAAGACCAATTTGGTTCGCGATGCTGGATGGCGTTTTTCGGGCCGTCAGGGCGCCGGATTGCTCGAGGAACGGAAGAAAGAGATGGTAATTCATGCAAAGACGCATGAGAATTCAATCATAGCCTGCGTATGTCTGTGTATACAGGCTATTTCTGACAAGTTCAACCACCCGAACCTGACGAAGATGCACGGCTCATGGCTGGACAACGCCAACAAGCGCATGTATCTGTCATACGAGCACGTGAAGCGGGGGACGCTGTGAAGGGGTGTCGCACGGTCAAGCGTTTTACATTCCAAGTACACACACGCGCACGCTGCCTGGGTGCCTGCTACTAGCTGGGTGGCAACCAACACCAATCCATGGCGTGTGTGTGTGTGTGTGTGTGTGCAGATATTGCAGGGGCTGGCGCATATGAAGAACGTGGCCCACCGTGACGTGAAGCCCGAGAACATACTGATGCAGGGCAGGAATGGCAGGTATGTATATTCAGAGACTTGGTATGGAGCCAGGGAGGGAGGGGGGGAGGGAGGGACACATATAGCCAAGGCATATTCCCTCCCTCATTGTCGGTGGGTGCTGCATGTCTTCCTTGATTGAAGATTCTTTTCTTTCTTCAGAAAGGTGTTGAAGTTGTACGACTTTGGCCAGTCACACGAGTTTGAAGCAGCCGGACGACGGCCAACACCGTAAGTACACCTACCTATACGTGCATCTATCTACATACATCACTGCTCACCTTCGTTCCTCGATTCAATCAAAGCCAATCTCTCTGTGTGTGTATGTCTTACACAGCCCTAAGCTCAGAAGAGACACACAGGGCTATCGGAGCTCAGAAGCCCACTTGGACACGTCGAAGGGAATCGGGTCCGCCACCGAGATCTGGGCCACACGTAGGTACGCAGCACACCTAGACAGAGGCTGAGAGAGCGATGAGACACACAAAGTTTTCAAATGCACCTCTATAGTATTGTGTCATGTGTACACAGGCCGCCGTCCCTTCGATGTACGTCAGCATGGCAGCGTGGCAATGAACACACATACGCGATGCCCATCTGCATCCAGCAATGCATACATCTTCGTGTGTATGTGTCCCCGGTCGACTCGTGCAGAGGCAGACCTGGGCACGCCACCCGCCCAGGATATGAAGAACCTCGTTTCCCCTTGTTTCTCTGTTTTCATATCCCAGGCGCATCTCTCTCCTTGTTTCTCTGCGTCTCATGGATGGATGAATGGATCAGTTGCTTCAGGTTGGCAGGAAGACGTTTGACCAGTTTGCCGACATGGTGCGCAGGGCGCACCGCCACTTGTTCGACAGTGACCTGCTCATCGACCTGATTTACAAGTGAGGACACTGCACCAGCCATCCATCCATCCACCCATCCATTGCGCCATGATCAACTGCACACACACTCAACTGATGTCTGTCGTGTGTCTGCCAGGGCCGCAATTGATATCAACTCAACTGAGGAGCAACAAGGAGAAATGCACAAGAGAAACCCATCTCACTTCCGTGCGCACTTGCCGCTGTTTGTGATTCAGCCCGAGGGATTCAAATTGCGTAAGCAAGTTGAATTTCAGTGCCGCCACGCGCTCGCGCCTTTGAAGATGTCCGCAATTATCTGTTGTACGACAGACGACAAGCAGGTAAAATAAGCACAGACACGCCATGCCGTTTTATACCTGTTGTAAGGCGAATCGGAGGATGACAACACCAGCGTCGTTATCGGCCGGCTGCGGGCCTCCTGGAGGGAAGCCAGGATAGCGCAGAGGCAGGCGGCCGCTGCGCACAAGGCCACCAGCAAGGAGGAGAAGGTGACGTCGAAGGTGTCAGTGGCGATGAAAGGCACCGAGGCCCATGAGGCACGGGTCATGGCGACTCGAGGACGTCCAGTACCTGTCGCAACTCAAGGACTGGAGACGGCAATCGTGTCCAAGAAGCCGACCAGCAGGAAGATAAATGCGCCGGCGGTGGCAATGAAGTGCACCAACGCCCATGCTGCACGGATCATAGCCACTCGAGGACATCCAGTTCCTGATGATGTCTCAGAGACTGCCATTTGCTGCTCAGGTGGGCTGGGCGACTGTTTTGGTTGAATCGCCTATCTCGATGGATAAATCTCTTCAGGTGACTTTTCTATCGCAGGCGGGGCCGCCCGAACCTTCTGTCCGTCAGCGACCCAGCGACCATGAGGGCCTTGCAGCGACGGCTGCACACTGAATTTGAGCTCGGCGCGTCGGGCAATCGGACTTTTGCTCCTGAGGCTCAGCCGGCGGAGGTGTTTCGTGGCGACGAAGGCACGGATCGCACACGTCCCATCAATGTCAGAATCGCCTCCAGTGAGCATGGAAATAAGGGGGGAACCAGAATGATTGAGGCAGAAGATCGCCTCTTGTTTGTTTCAGGTTGTCGCCGGTGCTGCAGCACCTGCAAACGCCGCAGCACCGGTGCGTGCCAATACTGCTGCAGTGAGCAGTGCAGAACGGATTCGAAGAAGGCCTTCTGGTGTTTCATGTTCTACGTCGCGGTGATTGCGATCATCGCTTTCATCATCACCATTCCGGTCTGCTGGAGTGGCCAGATCTGCCCCGAGACCTGCAAATGGCTGCTCGACACACTCTTGAAACTCCTATGCGTCCTTTCCAAAGGTGAGGGGAAGAGAGCACACGTTCGTTGAATGTGTGTTGCTGTTGTGTTGTTTCTGCTGTTGTGTTGTTTCTGCAGTCGGGAATGCTCCCCGCCCGCCCTCTGGTGAGCTCTGCAATGGAGTACAATAACTACATTGGGACCGGCGCGAGCCCCATTCAGCAGCCCGTAGGTGTAGAGGTCCCGAATGACGAGCCGGGGAGTCGGACACGACCGCTGGGGGGGTTTCTCGGCCGCACAATGCACATCGCGCTGGATGGCTCCATGCGTACCGACGACTTGATTGAGATAGTAAGCCATGAGGGAGGGGAATGGAATGGAATGCATCCGATTCGTTGGATGTGCGTATGCAGTGAGTGCAGCCAGGCAGCCAGGCCGCCAGATGCACCCACTCACCCACCCCACAGACCGAGCAGACAGACATTCACGGCATACCATGTGCTCTCTCTGCCATGTGTGTGTGTGTGTGTGTGTGTGTGTTCGCAGGCCTTCGCAGAAGCAATGTCGCGCCGCCTCACTCCCCTAGACCTCCTCATAAATGGGGTATCCGTGCGCACCAACCCCTACGCCAGGGCCTCGCAGCTCCGTCGCCCCCTCACCCTGCCCGTTGTGGTGGTTGTCGACGACCCCGCCGGCCCCCCCGCCCCTCCGCGCGCCCCCCCTCCCACCCACAACGCATGGTCCGCACCACCGGCACCGCAGAGCACACAGCCCGCCAGCCGCCGCCAGCGCCACCGCCATGTGCAGGTGGTACGGAGCATGAGGACGGAGAACCGGTTCAGGCCGTGTAAGCAAAGCAACGGAGAGAAAGGGACAAGGGAAGGGAAACAGCGATGTATGGACTGTTTGTACTGTGTGTGTGTGTTTGCCGTTCATCCGTTCATCAGATGCGCGACCCAGTCCCACGCCCACCTACCGCACGGACACCAACACCAACACCCGTGACCAGCACCCGTGTAAGCACACATATGAATGAATGAATGAATGAATGAGTACATTTTCTTTGCACGAATGAACGCATCCATACAAACCCATGTGTCTTTTACTAATGTGTCTGTTGTGTGTGGTTGCTCAGCCGTCGAGAACCGCACGGATCGCTCCTCCGCGGAGCACTGGCGCCAAAGGATCCGGGACCGCCACCACCACTGAGGCACCGCACCACAGACACAACACCAACACACGGTAGATAGACAGATGGATAGGGGGACGATGGAGGGAGGGAGGCAGGCATTGATGGATGGATGGATGCTGCGGGTGGGGGTGGAAGGTGGGCCCCTCTCTCTCGGCGTGTCCTTTGCTGCGAGGGTGCATGGTTCATCACCTGTTGCTGTCTGTAACGTGACGTCTTTGGCACTCTATCTACTCACCCAGTTTGTTTCCTCTTGCTAGCAGACTGCTGGCCACACACACACAAGACTGCGCGCCACACACACATGGAGGAATGGCTTGGGGGTGGGGCCCTCTCGGCTTGGGCGTGGGGCCTCAGCAGAGACGGGAGAAAGGGTGGGCAGGCAGGTGTCTCTCTGTCTGTATGCAGATTTGATCGCTGCCTTCATTTTATATCTGTCGTCCTCTCCTCTCCTGGTGCTGATTGTTGTCGGGCGGCTGAGCATGAGATTTGATCGGTCAATGACGCGAGAGAGGGGCCGGAAAAGGCAGTGGGAAGTGGTTTGTGCGGTCTGTGCATTGGCATGATCTCACATCGCTGCCTACGTTTTATATCGGAGAGGCTGTTGAGGTGACTGCGAGGGCCTTTGGTTTGTGGGAGAGAATGCGATGAGTGTGACGGACTGACGGAGAGGTGGACATTTTCATCTTCTGCGTGTACGTCACGCCATGACTGTGTGCTTCCTGCCTGCCTGCCTGCCTCCTTGGCGTAGGCCGTGTGTCGTTCAACCAATGACCTTGCCCAATTTCAGAGTACCGACCAACTGCAATCAACTCACTCCACACGAGAGTTTGCAATGCATGTGAGCGGTGGGACGTTCTGCCTGCGAAAACCTGACCTATCTGCACATGTCAACAAGCAGCTGGCTGACTGGCTGGCTGGCTGGCTGGGGCATGGCTTGACCGAAGGAATGGCACCCACACAGACAGACAGACAGACAGACAAACAGCCAGGCAGCCAGTGTCGAACCGATCCCGGGATGCAGCCCACACACACAGGCATACAGAGAGGCACGCAGAGACGCAGCGAGTCAGTCCATTCACCCACCCACCCAAAAACGGTGCACACATCCAGCTCATGCAGCCATAACACAACACTGCGCGTGGAACAAAAAAGACCATCCTAGAGAGTTACTTTGCGAATTCATATCTAATTACACTTTACCTTTGCGGTTTACACCTACACCTTACTCTGTTGCTCGGCCACACGTCTATTTGACGCGACCCACCTGCACCTTCCTGGCCATATTGCCTCCTGTCATATAAGGGCAGCTGTGCGAGGGTCACACTTGGCGATACCCACCTTTCCCACCTTTGCCACTTCATCATCCATCCCGCCAGTCAGGATGGCTTCCCCCCCC